CGCCTCGATTCTTCCACCTCGGAGCACGTTCACGTCAATCCTTTCCCGCACGTTCATTTCAACTCCAGAGAGACCGAAGTGGCTGCAGTCTGATTGTTTATCGGAATCGACGAGAAGAAAACACGACGGCCAAGATACAACTCACCAGCATCGGGAGAGAAAGGAAGGTTTCGCAACAGAGCGATGGTCGCTACGGAGTCGTTCGATCGAGCGAGATACGGTCAAGCCGGGCACGCGAAATTGCGCTCGACGATTTCTTACGATAATTCCCGCGATTCGGACGTACGTTGCGGTCGAACCGTGTGTTCCAGGCGAGTCTCTACGTACGAGCAATAATCCGTTCATTTATTGGGACGATTCGCGACCGTCTCGTGGAAATCCCCTCCTTAGCTTGTCTTTTTTCCCCCAGCAAGTTCTCACCCTCTGTCCCTCGTTTCGAAGCGAAAGGGGGAAGCGATCGGGTTGCACCATAAATTTAATAGAGAAAGTTTTCATTACGGGCGTTACGCGAGACGCGCGCGCATCTCGCGAACGAAACACGCGGAGAGGAAACTACGTCATAGACTGCGCTTTAATTTTCCCTGCTTCAGAAACACCAAACACGGATCGCATCGCGTACAGCAGTGACAGCTGTACGCAACAGACTCCGAGAAACTCGAAATTCGCATAAGTAGAGAGAGAGGGAGTTTCGTGTAACTTGCGCCGGTAGTAAAAGTGTGATACTTTTGCTAACAAACTGCAGCGATCCCGTTGCTGCTCGCGTCGCGCCTCAACTTTGCCGGCAGATCGGCAACGACGAACGTCTTCGAAGCAATACGAGGCAACGCGAGACGGTTGTCGAACAAATCCGGTTGATTCTTCGCTCTCCACGTACAGAGACTTCGAACTTTCCACGGTGGAGGAGATTCAACTCTCCGTTTCCTTTTAATTCATCGTTGCTTCTTTCTTTCTTCCTTTTCTTGTTTCTTTTTCTTTTTTGGCGGCTGCGGATAAAGCGCGTCTTCCAAACGAGGTTAGTGTTGCAGCGAAAGCAACAGAGTCGTCTGGGGAGGGGAAACCGGAGACGGATATCCAATCGGGATATCGAAGGTCAAGGAGCTATCACGGCACAAATTGGGTTACCAAGGACGGAGCGTATCGAGGAAATCCTATTTCCAACTCGCTATTTTTCTCCGCAGCGGACCGCCTTCCACCTTTTTATACCGGATAACAGCGCCAGTCTTCCCCGTTATCCGACCCGATCTCTGAATCTCTCCCCAACTTTGGCCAGTTTGTAACTACCTCCCCCTGAAACCGATGATACCGCGCGAATCCCGCAAATAAGGCCGCGCGTTATTTTGTAGATCTCTTCACAGATCCTGGATAATATCGATTATACGAGATTCTTCTTCCCCAGAAGAAGAAGAAGAAGAAGAAGAAGAAGAAGGAAGAGGAGGGGCTGGAATTTCCTATTTTCTTTTTTCTTTATCTCGAGTTTCACTTTGACTATCAGAGTCAAATTTCAGAGCGAAATAAGTTCGAACTTTCTCCGACCAGATGGAA